CGCTTCACGTACAACATCATGTTGGCAACGCCAGTGGCTGCCGCATGATGGCAGGAATAGTCTACGTGAGAGAGACTGTGACAAAATTGACAAGCACAGCTTCCATCTGAGCAATGGCATAGACAAAATATCATTTATGAGTCTACTTTGGCCTGTAAAATGATAAAAATCTGATGGATGCAACCGATTTTCGGTGATTTAGTCAAACATTTTCTGTTCTCCACTCGTGGGGATCCTATTTATGTGCATCCAGAGTCTCGGTATTTTTCGTTACATTATCTGCCGCATCGGTCCGCCATACTCTGAAATGGCGACTTGCAGTGAAGTGCGTTGACGCCGACACGGTGCTGTACACTGCGCCGTCCATACACTTTTTATGCGCTCCGAGGCTGCATTTTCTTTACCCCATCCGCCTGAACAACATGAGACGCCGTCAGCCAACTCCCTCGGGGGCGTTCCACGGCTCCACGGGGGACCTAGCGGCTGAGTTTGACACAAGCCTCGTGAATCGCATGTTTTCGGCCCGCCTCTTCTGGCAGGAGGCTACATTAATTCTGCACAATCCGCCTCCACCACTCCAGGCTTATTTGTGGCTCTTCCGGCTCTAGCCAGCTCGCAGTTCGTCAGCTTTTTACTGCAGTAGCAGCAGCAGTAGCAGCAGGCCTTTGACAGTGCACGATTCTTCTCGTCTCGTCGTAAATCCAGTTTGCGTGAATACTCCGCTCGAAGTGATTGCTGGAGCTGATGGAGGCAATCAGGTTGCAGCACAAGTTGTGTCTGGCTGACGAGAGAGTGGCACCGCTAGTGGAGGCTGGCATGCATGTTGTCGCAAAAAGAATCTGGTGCATGCACACTTCAGGGAATCTGGACGAAAGAGGGACGCGAATAAGAGCCTTAAGGTGAGCCGATGAGGCAAGGATGCGTTGAGCGGAATAACCGAAGAAGAAGGGCGGACTGGAGCTGGGCTGGAGTGAGGAGCGCCGTGACCATCCAACGAGTATGGCGCTCCTCGGCGACACCGCCCCCAACGATTCTGACAAAAGCACGGTGCCATGTGGTAAATGTGCCTGACAAACGGCTTTCTTGCCGCTGCCTGAAAACACTTTATTCATGGGACCGATTCCAAATTATCCCTACCCGGAGAAGCATGATTGCCCAAACTGCAACCTATTGCTTGCGGGCGAATTAATCTGCTTTTTTTCTTAGTAGCTTTTTGCAACTCACAAGTAATTAATCGGCTCAATTGCGCCTTTAAGTAGACTCGTAAATTACTACAATAAAATACTCCGTTTTAAAGCTTATATAATTGGCAAAATTATTATACTTACATATTTATACTACTTAATTAGGTATTAGGTAGTGTCATTAATTTTGTTTAATTTTATATGTTTAAGTTATTTCTTTTTCCTCTCGACGGGGTGTAGAATTTAATGAAAACTCTATACTCAAAATAGCCCGAGAAATATCATACTTAAATTTTCACTATCCTATGTCCGTTTTGGGCTATTTTTCCTTATAATACGGCTCTTAATACCTTCGTAGTTCGCATCCTCGATAGTAGATTGTATCGCCTTCAACTTGGGTATGCGTTGAGGCTTCTATTGGCTCCCAGATCCGCGATGCCTTTTGTCCGTCTACTTTGGCAAACATTTTACGAGGCGAAGTAAGTCAGTAGGCTGACAAACTCTCTTGCTTATACATTAAATCCTGTCGGGAGTTTAGGGTCGATCGTTCTTCCGCCAAATCCAAACAAACTTGATCCATATAAGAGTAGGGTTTCGAGACTACCAGTAAATTAGTGTAATGAGATGTATTTATCATATTTCGTCTAAGTTGATGAAGGACTGGCACTCCCACCAAAGAATATGATATGGCAAGATGTCTCGACTTCCTTGAAATTCACTTATGCTCTGTGACTCAAGGGTACTCGTAGCAGTGTAGCCAAGTGATTAGGGTGTCAAGCTTCCATCCTGCAC